TTTGTTAACAGGGCTAATTCAAAGGACCCCACGTTAGTAAGGATTTGAGACACCACCAAAAACTCCAATGCTTTCTCAAACACTGTCACTGTCTATAGCAAGCGAGCATATGCGGTGACAGCACCAATCCTAAAACAGGATCATGTACTTAATATGGCATTAAAAATTTCCTTCAAATCCTAGCAGTTGCACAGAAATCTTTCAGTACAACGTAATTCTATTGCTACACTGTGCTTATTTCCATAAACAACTTTCTGGTGCATCCAAGGGGATTCTCCTCTTATCTGGCACTGCCACAGGGTGACGAGTGGGTCGCAAAGGTCAATTTCCAATATGAAATCTCAACTAAGGGACAATTATGGCCAGACAAAGAAAAACCAAGTACAGTGAAGTCTTAATCACATCCTGCCCCTGAAAGGGGTTCCAATGGCAGTCGCCAAAGGGGAAGAAGAGCCTCCAGGTTCTCAACACCCCCGTGCCTCCAAGGGCTTTTAGAGGAGGGAAGGGAACCAGCAGCCACCCCGAAAGCCTGATGGGAGCTACTGAGCAACCAAGTTCATCGGCTGGGCGCAGACACAACCCGCCCTCCGCTCGGCGGGCCCCGGCCCGGGGCGCCTCTCACCACCCTGCCCCACACCGGCCCCCGAACCTCGCGCTTCCGCCCGAGCCCCGGCGGGCCCCCGCCTCCCCGGCCGAGCCCCTTCCTCCCCCAGCCCCGCTCCTCTTCGCCCTCCTCCCCGGTCCCAGCTCCCTCCCTCCCCCGACCATGTTTACCCCCGGAAGCCCCTACTCTCCACAGCCCTCCCCTCCTCCTCCCGCCCTTTCTGCGGCGGCCCCAGTCGGTCCCGCCGGCTCGGGCCCCCACTTCCTCCCCCGGCCCGGTACTCACTCTCGAAGGCCTGAAGAAAGAGCTCGTGGTCGGCCTGGATCTGCTCCATCTTTGGCTTCTTCACGGGGGGCAGCGCCGCCGCCGCTGCCGCCGCCGCCGAGGAGGCCGAGGAACCGCCCGAGTAGCCGCTTCCTCCGCCACCACCGCCGCCGCCTGCGGCACCACCGGATTTGCCGCCGGGAGCCGCCGCCGCCGCCGCGGCGGAGCCTCCGAACCCCCCGCCGCCGCCGCCGCCTCCGCCGCCACCTCCTCCTCCTCCGGCGGCGCCGCCAGCGGAGCCCGAGCTGGGCCCCGCACCTCCACCGTGCTTCTGAGGAGCCATGGGCCTGGCCCCCGAGAGGGCCCCGGCAGGACGGAGACCGAGCGGGGAGGGAGGGGGCGGCTGGGGCGGGTGGGGTGAGGCGGGGGGAGGGGAAGCGCCGAGCTCCAACTCCTCCAAGTCTCCTCCGCTCCGCTCTCCTCAGCGCTACGACCAGCCGAACCCGACGACCACGGCACGCCCGCCTCCCCTACTCTCCCATTGGCTCCGAAGATGGCGCCGCACCGCCCCATTGGCAGGCGCGGGGCCCGCCCCCGCGTGACGCACGGATGGTTCTGGAAGAGTTTGGTTGGTCGGTGCGCTCCGCCGCTTGGCGCTTCTCCCCTCCCCCTCCTTTGAACTGAATTCGCGGGAAAGGGCCGCTCGCCCTCCGGCGCGGGGCATGCTGGGTAGAGCGGGCCGCCCGTCACCGCCGCGCCGCGCCGGGTCCGCCCTCGCACCCCTCCGCCGCTTCACGCGCAGCTCCGCGGCCGCACAGACTGTGGGTCTCCTGTCCCCTGAGGAAAGCCGTTCCCTGCGCGGCGGGGCCGCTGAGGGGCTGCCCGTCGAAGCTGGGGTTTGATCGTTGAAAGAGCCAAAATAGTGGAGATAGAAGCATAAATCGGTTTTGTGGTATAAAAAAAAAAAGATTGTATTGGGTCGGGCGGGAGGTCCTGCTGGTGTCCCGTAGCTTTGACCTTGATGAAGCATGAGGTTTCCTCAGGACAGCAGAAGAAACCACTCACAGGTGCAGGGAGACTTGAAGGCTGAGGTAAAATGTCTCTGTCCAGTCTTATTCTCACCTTTCTCACCTTTCTCACCTTAATGACAACCTCAGAGCCCTCGTGGAAGTGAAAATTGTGCCACTGTGGCCACCTTCAGCACCCTGACAGCTGCCCGCGTGTGGCCAGGCACATGCGCAGCATCAGGCCTTCAAGGTGTGCTCTTGGGCTGCTTCACTGTGCGTGATAAAACATAATAGAGTCCAAGTGCAATGGGGAAATTCAGCACTGGCTTTAGTTAATCAAGTCCTTATCAGTGGTGTGACAAGCTCAATCCATAAAAGGCTTTGACAGCCGTCCTGTTTGATTTGCTTCCTTTCATTAAACTTGAAGAGTAATTGTACAAGGTAAGGTAAAAACAGCCCACGTGTGAAACAGCCTTGAGTTATGATACCAGATACAACTGTGATGCTGGCACTATACCATCTCCTAATTCCTAGTGTTAACCAAAATTAACTCGATAAATATGAAGAGGAAAACAGTATGTCAAAGTCAGCCATGCTGTAAATGTGCCTTACGTTATCAATAGAGGGGGATTCTAATAGGATGTCTCAATTGTCTGTTATTAACCTTCTTCTATTTTAAGAAAATGCATGTATATACACCCTATGTAAATAAGATATATAAGTAAGATAAGTAAGTCTTTATCAGCTACTATTCCCTGCCCGATTTGTTTGATTTTTTACAAATCCTTAACATTTATTCTTATTTAATACCTGAAACATTAATGTTATTTTTCAGTTACATCCCCTTTTAGTGCTGCACCATTTAGCATTCAAGTTCGCTTTGAAAAGGTCTTTTCTTTCCTTAAGCTTTTTTTTTCTTCAAATTATTTGTCTTTCCTTCCATTTTTATCAGACACTGATGTTTTAGATGCCACCTTTTCTGTAATTAGTTTCAACCTTAATTTCCTTACATTTTTAGGAATTCATCTTTGTCACAGTTCACCTACATTCTATTTGTTCTTCCCTCCAAACAGAAACTGTTATTTCTAACATCTCCTGTTACACAATTTGATCCTGTTTATCATAATTCTGCTTATCACAATCCTGCTTATCATAATAATGTCTTTGCTTAGTATTCCAGTTTCTTGATCTTCTATCTCCTATTCAATTTCTCTACCGCATCTCATTTATTGTGGCTGAATATTTCTTTAGTGGTTGATGCACTGCATGGTTCTAAGGACCTTACATGTAGTTCTTCACTTATACCCAGGGACTTCCTGGGATGCATTGGAACAATCTTCTGAACTGAAACTAGATAGCAACAGCAAACCAAATGAAGAGCATTTTACATGATCAGGAGTTGATCTTGAGGCCAGTGATAGCCTGTGTCAAGTGACAGAAGGTAAAAAATATCATATTATGTGTGAGAAAGGCTCCTATATGTTTTATAGCAGCAATTTTGCAATTGGAAGTTGTTCATTGCCTAAAATCTATAACTGTTTCCTCCCTACTGTTTACAAGCTGCTGCTGCTGGTGGTGGCTCATCCTTCTAAATTTCAAAACCAGGAGGAGCCAGAGGGCAACCTTCAAAGGAGGAGTAAGCAAGATAATTAGGCAATTAATCTCTGGCATTGGAGTGGGATCTGCTTGTGAACAGAGGAACTTAAGGTTGAGATTCTAGCCTTGAATGGCACAGGACGGTGCAACACACACCCACACACACAGTGTGCGTATGTGCCCACTGGAAGCACAGGACTGACTGTCAAATAGGGGAGTTTTGACAGTTTGAGAGTGTTTTCCTTATCTGGTAGAGAGACTTGTAATTTTTTAAGCTGTTTGTTTAGATCTGCTGCCCTGGGCTGTTCATGTGTACTTAAAGAGTGTAGAGCATTGATGAGATATGTTCAGCTGAAAAAGCCCCAACGACTTCGAGATGTCATGTGTGGGGCTTCATAGTGCATATGGCTAAAAAGAGCACAGGGCATAACACAGCAAGTAACTTCTACTTATTTTGCACAGAAGCAAGAAAATATATATTTCTTTCTAGAAAGATAGAAAGACGGAAATCGTTATGGTTTCTTCAGAAGAGCTGAGGCGTGAGAATGTTGTGTCCTTGACCTGCCTGGTAAAAGAGACCCTATATATTTTATACATGCATTTATTAAAAAATAGTATCTTGTATATATATACACGAGGTAACAGTAATAAGTTGGCCATAGTTAGCAAAAGACAGGGTTTATGCAAAGCCAATGAAAATGTGTTTCTCATAAAGTATCTAAAAAAGACAAACATTGAAATACAGTGTACCTGACTGAAATTCCTATCAACTCATAACATTTGGGAAGTAAAAGATGATGACAAGTAGTGTCTTTTTTTTTTTGCTATAAAAATAGAAAATCACATAATGCAAAAACCAGTTTAATATGATAAATGGAAGAAACAACCATTTGCAAACCAAGGCTGGAACAAACCCCTGGCAGGGAAAGCAGAAGTAGCTGGCAAAGGTGCCTTTATGATATGTCAGATTTATGTCTCAAGATGGCCAATCCGTTCTTGTTTTCATGTGCCGTTGGTGGGATTTGTGTTTGATATTCAAAAGATCAGATTTGCTTCCTGCAGATTGAAAGCATATGCTACTTCTGGATCCCTTTTTCCTAAGGGATTTTTGCAGCCGGTATGTACCCAATGTTCCTGTCATCTTGACAGGCTAAACTGCAGCAAGTTTTACCTCTTCAGACATACATGAAAAAGTACATAATATGCATGCATAAATAGCACTTTCTGAAATGTTTCTTCATTTCATAGTTACATGCATTTCTTGGTTGCCTGTAGTACCTCTATAACCACAAGTACTTTCCAGCTTCCAGTCCTCCAAATTACTGTATCTCAGCACAGGAGTATTTACAATGTAAATCCTTTTTTTTTAGAGGGGAAGTAAGTACCTGTATACTTGGAGCTCAGTCAAAGGAAAGTTCTATCAGTATCACACTGTTTTCCTCACACCTTTGAACACAGGTCTGTCTATAGAGATTGTTAGTAACTAGAGATTGTTAGTCTCTAGTAACAGAGATTGTTAGTAACTGTCTATAGAGATTGTTAGTAACTAGTAAAGCCTACTACACATCTATCTTAGCTTCTGAGAACTTAAATATAACTTTGGAACAAAAAACTGATGCTGACTAGGTAAATATGAACTTTTGGGCAATCTTTCTTAAAAGTTGCTTACAGATTGAGGCCACCACGGCAGCCAGTGTCACTGTTTATCAGGGAGTGCTATTGTACCACGCTGGGAAGGAGCTGAAGTGTGCTATTCAGGGTGCTGCTGAGCATAACAACCCCACAGCCGGTGTTCTGGGTAGCTGTGGTTCTTTATTTTGGCCTCAAGCTAGTGAGCACATTCAGTGGGATTCAAGGGCATCTGGCATGGAAGAGACCTGCACTTCTATGGTTACATCCAAACTTTATTTCTTTCTTTTTTCATGCTTCCAGGTTCTCCTTCGCACTCTTTGTCCAGCCCATCAAACCCAGGTTTTCCATGAGAGGAGTGAGAGTACACAAATGCTGTAGAACCGAGACAAATAAAACTACTTCTCGCATAGATGGGAAGGTATGGATCCCGCAGCTCTATCACTGTACTCCAAATGCAGATGCAATTTCCTTCACTTACACAAATAAACTCCACTAGATGCTGAGTTAATTTCATCTGCAAGAGTTATTAATTCATTTTCTTCAGTTGATATTCTTTATTTTCAGCCTGATTTGATGTCGATCAGCAGTAACAAGCTATGGAAATTATTAGATAAAGTACTTTTTCCTCCCTACTTGGAAAGCAGAAGTCAACTCCCACTTTGTGTTTTCCCAGTCTCTTATAAACAGAGGCTACATAATATTGCAGCTGGAGAAAGGGAGTAGCTGCAGCTTCCCGAGTAAAGGTGCGAGAGCAGGTCGGAGGAGTACTGAGTATATTTAGGATGGCAGGATCATATTGCTGTTGGGGTAGTAGCTCTCCATTTCCGTTTGGTTTTCTGCATGTTAATATCTAGTGCTGCCCTGTTTTTATAAGCAAGGAACTAAGAAAAGAGAAAATAAACTTTAAGGGAACAACTGTACTGAAGCATGGCAAAGGGAAGAGCTAAGATCCTGTGTAGCAATGCAAGCATTTTGATGTATAGCTGTGAATGCAGTATGTGTGGGAGATTGACAGAGCAGCCACTTGTGATTCTCATTCTTGTGTTTGGCTGGGGACTGCTTTTGTACAGAGCTGTTCAAATGTATTCCAGGAGCACAGCACTCAAGGAACTTGGCCCTCAGGGAATCTTAATGCACCCATAATGCTCAGCTTTCAGCCATCAGGTTGCTTATGTGTCTTGAGTTACTGTAGAGAGTGAAAACTGAGTTCACAGGATGGTTTGCACCAGAGTCACCTATCTTCTGCATTCACATGGTGAACAACAAGTAATAATTATTAGTTGCTATTGCTTAGCAGAAATGTGTGCTCATGAGTTGTTTCCTGGAGTTTTTTTGTGATGTTTTAATATATTTTTCATTACTCTTCTACAATGAAATTTATTTCCTGATTTTCAGTAATGATTTATTTTTGCTTGGTGGCTTTTCAGCAGTCGCATTTCTCCTCAGTGTTTAGACAGTGGACTGAAAATACCAGAATTGTTTTGAAAGCATTATGAAAAGCCTAGGCCCAATATATTGGTTTAGTCTAGAAAGATAGGACATCTCTTAAGATGATTTAACTGCAAGCCCAGAAATGTACTAACAGTAAAAGCATTTATTACAGAAAAAGATATCTCATACAAGGAACTAAAAATAAAGTTTGTAAGGTAAAACCAGTAAGTTCTGCATAATATTCACTTATTTTTAAAGGCGAAGTTTAAAACAAGATTTTTATTCATATAAGATTAGATCAAAACCTGTGTCTGCTGAAAAAAAGCAAGGCAGTGTTATTCCCCTTTGTTGAAACCTGAATAAATTCCATGTAGCACCAAAGACTCCATAGGTAGGAAAAGGACTTGTGGAGTCTCTGGGCAGAAGAAGGACTGTTGTTGCTCAGGAAGCTCACACTTGGAAGAGACCTTATCTGGCTTAATGGTTGGTCTGTGCCCTTCATTTTGAATGTCTTCATCACATTTGTAATTGTTTGAAGAAACGAAGGTGCTTGAGGTGAGCTGTAGAAAAGTTCTTGTCCCTTTTGTCCACAGAGAAACTCCATCTTTGCCATGAGCCCCCTTTTTTAATATGAGCTTCAGAAAACTCTAGCTTTTAATATGTTAATCCAGAGTTGTTGGATTTTTTTTACAGAAAATCTGTAGACCTCCTATATAATAAACTCACAAAACCCCCACCCACACTACAATGTATTTCATGTGTGATTCCAAACAAAACACACAAAAAGCCATGCCAAATCTTGACATTTAAATGCTTAATACATGGAAATAGAATAGGAATCACACAAGATCATGCTGTAATTTCAGAGACACAGCATATGTGGTACTTACTGAAAAACTAATAATTCTAAGTGAACTTTCAGGAATTGTGTTCCCTATACTGAGTCCTGGAAACTGCCACAGATACAGCAACTGAAACACTTTCCATGCAAACTCAATGATTAAACACAGAAATGCAGAGGTCAAAGAGAAACTGCTGGGAAGATATGAGAATTAAGTCAGTTGCAGATGTAAATATAAGTTTCTCACCAAAGGGTCTGTTCACAGTGTAAGAAAAAGAGCTTCAATCAATCAGAAATAAAAATATGGGGAGGATCAAAGAATATGTCAATAAATAGTAAAATGAAACCTCACATTAATTAGCTTGCAGATTAATTTCAACTTTAAGTAAGGGGTAAGTTTTGACAGGGACTGATTCTCTCTTTTGTGGCTAACCCAAGTACAGGTTAACAAGATAAGGAGCTTAAATTTTATCATCAGCAATTACTCAAATGATAAGATCAGGGCAGAGACTTTTTTCCCAGTGTTTTCCATTTAGGTATATGAAAGTCACACACAGGAGAGCTTATCTAAGTGTCATATGCAAGTTAACACATTATCTGTGGGTTTATATGCTAGAGGTTGCTTCAGAAGGCTTTGATAAGAGTTTATCTTGTTTTCAGAATGCTGCTTGGGATATATGATTCTGCACACGATAATCTAAATTATTCTAGTCCCAAGGTAGTTTTACTGGTTGTTGCCATGACTGTGTACTTTTATCATGCTAAACACATCTCCATAGAAGGAGGTAAGAAACATAGCAGGAGGCAAAATGTGAGCAATCCTAGTCCCACTTTTTTGGAAGGAGAAATAAACCTGTATATGGCATATTTTATGCTCTTTGGCATGTCATTTTAATTGATGCTGGAACTGACATCTCTGTGCTTTGCTCTGAGGAAGTTCTATCTCTAGCTGCCTTGTTACTTACGATATTGGTAGGTCACCCAAGGCCATGCCATAATTACACTGCTTTTCATACCTAGACAGGTTAGTGAGATAAATAAAGATTAGCAGGACTCTACTCTCCAGAGCTTTGGCAACAATCCTAAGTACAAATGTACATGCAAGAAATAATATTAAATTAAAGGTACTTAAGCAATGCATTTGACAATTTAAGAGAATGTAGGAAATGACTGATATAGTTTTAAATTGTTGAAATATGACTGATATTCCACTGGATTATGAATTGACAACTAGAATATGATGACTGACCAGTTATAACTGCCCTGCTGCATTTAGACAGACTGACAACTACCTACTAACCAGCCAAATGACAAAATCAAATTAAAAGGCATACTTATAGCCACTACTGTACAAGTCTCTGGAGGCCCTGGATAAACATATGGATTTTGTACTGAGTACCAGATGTGAACTGGCACGGAAGCAATTCCCCGTCGCTGAAAATGCCCTGTGTATAGATGTTCAGATTTTGGGGCAATTGAAAAGAAGCTGAATGCCTCAAAATGAGTAGGAGGAAAAATCTGATTCATAAAACTCCCAAGTTCAGAGCCAAAGCAAAGAAGAATGTAAAGGTCTTGTCTTTTTAGGAGACTACATGTAAGAGTAAATTGTCAGATAATAGTTCTGTTAAGGCATTGAATGAAAATGGTTTTGGATTTTTTAACCAATAATAGCTGAGGAAAAGATAAGTGAATGAAATTCCAGGAATCATTCAGCTCTAATGCTGCAAGAGTAAAGCAATGCATTGACAAAGACAAGCATCTGTCTACCAGAATGATGAAAATAACATTGATATAGGATTGGTACATGTACCAGTGTTAATGTAGGTATGGAACAGCCCAACTGACCAGCTCTATAGTCTGCAACGTAAGTTTTTGGCTCAGAGTGAAACTACAGTGATGATGCGGTGTTGATGCAGATTGACTGCTGGTTTTGGCAGAAGTGAAACCAAATCATCATGTAAATTGCTTTAGTAACAAATTCAGGCAAGTTAATGAAGCCCTAAGTTTGGGTTAGGCTATTTTGTAGAGTAAATTCCAAGCTGCTTTATTATCAGTTGTGTTCATTTTTTTTTTTTAAACCAAAGCCCCACATGCTCAGAAAATGCTTTGAGGGCTTTGTTAACAATGTGTCCCTAAGGCTGAACCCCTGGCTTGGCTTAGCAGAAGTTTCCCTGTTATTTTCATGAGCTCAGAACACCACTCTTGTTTAAAAGGCATATTCATATAGTGCAAGCTAACTGTGAAATACTGTATGTCTGGTGGCATCTTCTAAAGAGTTGTAATTGTGCATTCAGGTAGAAAACCAGCTGAAATAAACAAGATACATCTATATCAATAACCTAAATATGTTTAATATTTAATTAAATATTAAATATGCCCATTAACCATCATGCATTTTAATATTGATAAGACTTAAAGCAAGAACACTGTTGTTATTCCTAATTCACAGTATATCCATTGCTTGCAGACTGTAACCTAGAAATATTAAGCTGTGACAGCCTGCCAGAACTTCTCCTGCAATTGATGGAGTTTCTCTAAAGACACTTCATAAAAGCAGCAGCATCGAACAGAGTGACCCTACAGGTGCAAACTGCAGCAGCTCTCCCTCCAGTCTTCCCAATAAGGTTTGTTGAAACTCTGTGTATCTCAACATCTTTATTGGTAATGGATCCCTCCCTTAATTTGCACTGATGCATTTGGAATGTCAGCTTCCAAAACAAGGCACATGGGCGGCATTTAAAGTAGATTTTTTGAAAGGAAAATGAACAAAGAGCATGTCAGGTTCCATTTTGATTTGCATGACAAATCCTGCATGCAGTGTTCTGGTGGGTCGGGCTGGGCTTGCCTGCCACTCACTGCGTTTGTCACTTTGGTTTGAACACTTCTGACAGTCCGTTATGTTAATTGTTCTAAGGATTGTTTTGCTGGGGAGGAAGAAAAGGAAAGGCATTTGTATTTTTGTACTCGTTCCATTTACAGGAAAGGAGGGATTTCTGAAGGAACACACAATGTTTTCAGTCTGTTTGTGATCTATTTGATTTGTAAATAATCCTGTGAGGTCATCAGCAAGTTCAGTACTTTAAATCTTACTGTTACTCACTTTGTGCCTGTGGTTTTGAGTGGGAAATACTGGGCCCCTAAACTGGAAACTTGGGGAGTCTATTGTTTTGGTGCACACCATTCTTTCTTCCTTTGAGTCCCGCAGTGATGGGTCCTGCAGAGTGGTTTGTGCTGTGCCTATATGCTTCTATGGGATGATATTGTGGTGCTTTGACAAGTGTTAACAAGGGATTTAATGCCCTCAGAGGCATTGCTGGGCACACATTGTTACCAGTGTGGGGGTAGTTTGTGGACAGCTCTCACATGTGTCAAAGACCTGTCGGTAGATATGTGCATACGACTGAATTCTCTCAGCAGCACAACTCAAGGTGGAGGTTGCTGTTGCCCTTTGAGGTACACAGACTTCTCTATCATCTGTGTTAATAAAACAGCCATGGCTTGTTTGTTTGGTGGTGGGGTTTGAATTTCAAAGTTCCCAGTTCACTGGGAGTTGATCACAAAACAGTATTTTAAGACTGATAGAATGATCAACCAGAACATTTCAGAAGACTTGTTCATGTTTGTATGTCACAGTTGCTGCTTTTCAGCTGCAGGAGACATCAGTGTTTAAAGAATGAGAAGAGCAAGAAGTTAGAAATAGAATTTCCCGGAGGTTTCCATGTAATGACTGATACCAACCTTTTAAGATTTGACTGATATCAACCTTTTAAGCTTTGAACTCCTAAACTGCATGCAGTCTGCTTGTGTAACTGTTGTGATCTAAGTGCACTGTGACAAATAAGCTCTAAATAGAGAATGCTTTTACAGTAGAAAATCATGCAGTCAGATGCAGAAATACCCACATAACTGAAGTTAAGCCATCAACTGTAGTAATTCCAATCACATTCTCGCTTAGTGATTCAGTATGCTAATGTAGTTTTTCAGGCCCAGTGTAGTCTTCCTTAAGTACTATTTTAGTAGCCTGTGGACTTACTAAGCAATCTGCTTGAGCTGGTCAACCTCCAAAAAAAGAAACCAAATATATTTAAGAAGTGTTTCTGATGATGATGAATAACATTCTACACTACTGTTTTGGGGAGGATTACCTGTTGTGCTGCTTTACTGGAAGCTGAACTTAAGGGAGGTGAACTCACTGACATTTAGGCCCCAGGAGGTTGAAGGTTGTGGCTCACACATGGAGCTGGCTTATGTCAGGATGGCTGTTCTCACTGTGGGGAGTTCCTCCTTCTGCTGCAGGGATGGCTCTGGGGCACTAACTGAGTTTTGCCAATTCTAGTGTGAATATTCTAAGTATATAAAGTTGGTAGTAAACAGATAGTATATAAAGGCGACAGGCTACCATTGTGATGTGCAGACCCATGGATTATGGCAGTGCAGCGTAGGATGTGGAAGCCTCCAGGGTGGACAGTGGCATTGGGAACTGCTGTTGTTCCTGCACAGTGGGTAAGGGGTCCCTCTGCTCCAGGCAGCTGTGGTTCAGACCTGCTCCAGCCACCATGCTCTGGACGCAGCAGACTGCAGCTCTTGGTCTGGTGGCTGGATGGTGACTTTCCATTTCCTGTTCAATCACTTCTTGGAAACCAGTGTCAACTGTTTCCTGTCAGAGTGAAAAGCTGCTAAACCTCTCCCACTAAGAACTCACTTGTGTTTTAATTGGTACCTAATGTTGACAAGAACCATTACGAATCCAAGTCATGGCAGGTGAAAAAAAATGACCACTATTCTTGGTTGTTCTTATGTTTTGTCTTATGGGTGTTTAACAGAAGTCAGTTGCTCAAGTTCTCGCTCTGTCCTCAGCACCATGCTTGAAGCCATTTTACTATCAGAAAGGGAAGGATCACCCACAGCTTTTTTGGCTCCTAGATATGAAAAGTGCCATGCCAGAAGTCCTCTTGCCCATGTGCTTGCTGTCTGAGAAACAGCTGCTGCCTCTTCCTCTGGGAGGGAGAGATCCTCACCACAGGAACATCATCCTAATGTCTGATCTCACTCTCCCCTCTGTCATTTTAAAGCCATTCCCCCTTGTCCTGTCCCTAGATGTCCCTGTCAAAAGCCCTTCTCCAGATTTATTATCAGCCCCTTTAGGCACTGGAAGCTGCTCTAAGGTCTCCCGGAGCTTTCTCTTCTCAGCTTGTGTCCATAGCAGAGGTATTCCAGCCCCCGTAGCATCTTCGTGGCCTCCTCTGGACTCAATGTTGTTGTTAATCCCAGAATTGAAGTCCGGTGGGAGCCTGGAGAAGCGGTTTATCCCGGCAGCGATCCCACCCAAAGCCATGTGCCCGCCTCAGTGGTGACTGACACCACACACGCCGCTCACCACCCGGACCCGGACCCGGACCCGGACCCGGCGAGAGGGCGGCGCAGCCAGCAGGGGGCGGCAGAGCGGCGCGGCCCCGCCCCGGAAGGCCGGCAGTGGCAGCGGTGTGGGCGCACGCGTGAGGCCTGTGTGGTGCCGCAGCCATGGCGGAGCGTGTGGAGCAGCGGCTGGAGGACCGCATCCCGGAGCTGGAGCAGCTGGAGCGGGTCGGGCTCTTCACGCGGAAGGAGATCAGGTGAGGCGGAAGAAGGCGGCACAGCCTGCACGGAGACCGGTAGCGAGCGCTGGCGGAGCGGCCGGGCTGGGTGCGTTCGCTGATGGCCCCTTCCCGCAGGGCCGTCCTGAGGAAGGCCTCGGCTCTGGAGTACAAGATACAGCGGCGAGCGCTGCGGAAAGAGGACTTCGTTAATTACATTCAGGTAGGCTTTGCTGATAGCAGGGCGGGCTAACCCGCGGTGGAGATCCAGCTCAGAAGTGAAGGAGTCTTGTAGTTATCCACGTAAGAAACGGGGCCCTGGTGTTCCCTTGGAAGTCGTTTATTAACAGAGGCTCTTAATCAGGACACACTAGAGGATGCAGCACAGCCAGTTTGGGGTGAGGGAGTCTTTCTTATTGTGGCTTTTCCCTATAGTTTTGTTTTCTCTGCAGGGATGCAGAAATCCCAGTTCCCTGATGTGATGTGCAGATTGCAGTTCAGTGTAATTAATTTCTTAGAGTGTTACAAGTTTGGCTTGTGCACTGTGACTCGAGGAGTGTGAGATGCTAATAGCTCAAGTCGGAAATGCCGTGCGCAGAACAAGTACTCAGTTTCAGTCAGCCTTAGAAATGTAGTGATCTGGCCAAAAACTTGTAACTTTAGCTTTCCTGGATGGAATTTTATTGCCCACTTGATTAGCTATAAAAATCTTGATCTGTAGTTTTTTGCTTATTCTTATGCATTTCCTCATTTGCTTTTAAATGTTTTGGGTTTTTTCCTCCCCATTCTAGTATGAAGTTAATCTGCTGGAGCTGATCAAGAAGCGAAGAGCAGTAAGTTTGTCAGTTATTCACTGTGCAAAATCCTTTATGTCAAATTTGCTATTGCAGTAAAACTAATACTTCCTTTTTGCCTCCTAGCGCATTGGGTATCCGTTTAAGAAGGATGAAATTGAGAACTCTATTCTGCACAGAGTCCATTGCCTCTTCAAGCGTGCTACAGGAAAATGGAAAGTAAGTTTGTTTATTTGTATTGATAGATTGAAAAATACCTTTTTGATGTGTAAAATGATCACCTTGTTATTGCCACCAATATTTGCAGTAATATAGAACGTAGCAGAAAAGCTAAGTGGATGTTTGGTCTTACAGTTCGCAGTGCCCTAGAAGGAGATAATTTGTTTGGGATAAACATTTTTCATATATAAACAAAATTTTATCATTCCCAAGTCATTATTTCTCAACTGTCTAGAGCACCTGCTGCAGTGTGAGTTTCGTCTGTCTGCTTGTAAGGACTAGAAACAGAATGAGGAAAAACTTTCAGCTGCTTCAGGAAAAGCTTGTCTTGATACATGTGTGTCTCAGGACACGTTACAGTGAGCTCTGTATTGGGTTCAGTGTAACATAGATTTGATTGAAGAGGCTTAGAGGCAGTGTCTTGAGATGCGGAGGTTGTTAGCTTGGGATGTTCTGGAGGAATTTGAAGATCGGTGGGGAAAAAAAGGGGTTTGACATTCAGAATTCCTTCTATCTGTATGCCAAGTCATCAGACCAAGGGCATACTGTTTGCTTGTCAATGTGCAACTGATTTTGTTCTTGCCTTGTTGTAAGGTTGATTCTCTCCCCCTTGCATTTCCAACAGGAAGATATCCAGCTTTGGCTTTCACATGTTGCATTTTGCAAACAGTGGGTGAGTCTTCAAAATGCTGATTTTATCTGAGTGAAGGTGCTGGACTGGTGCTAAATCAGGTGCCTGGAACTTGAATTACATGACACGGGTACAGACTTTACTGCCACATGCTGTAATACTGAAATAATTTTGACAGTAGGTTTGGAGCTGCCTGGATTTTTCACTGGTGTAAGTGTAGAATTTGACTTGGAATGAATTAGTATGAAACTGATGCTTGCAGGTGAAAGGGGTGAAGCTGAGTGCATTGAATCTGGAGTGCTGTTTGGTTTGGGAGAAGCCGAATATTGGATTTATATTTGGATATACTTTTAATATTGGATATACTTTTGCTGGAATGACTGGATCACCTCTCCATGAATGGTGATTTTGTTCCAAACATTTCTTATATTTCTTCTATGCTGAAAAGTATAATTCTGGCATTTCAGTATTTTGTAAACTTACCTGTGCACATCTTCAGGTTATGATTAACATTCTGTTATTGTCTGTCCTGTGCTGAAGAAGGTAACCCTGTCAGAGTAATGCCAAGCTGCCAAAGTAAGAAGTGCAGTCTTTACCTCAAAGGTAGTCATTGAGACTGTATGTTTGTGGCTTAGGGCACATAGGTGTTAGCTATGTAGTTTATAAAGGTTTCAGTTAAGTGTGCTGATCAGGCCTGGTAACGTTTGAAAGCTGGTCAGTACTGAACAAAAATGAGAAACTTGCTACTGAAGATAAAGTGGCAGAGAAGTGTGTTTTCCAGTACAGTTGTAACCTTTCATAATGAAACTTTGGTGCTGGTGGTTGGATGGTACTAGAGTGAGTAAAACAAAA